AGGTATCAACCTTTCTATAGGAAGGTAAATATTCCAAAAGTAAATAATGAATTTAGGCCAATTGGTTAGCCTAATTATATCATGGGCTTAGCATTTACAGTCCATTTCTCTTTTAATGGTAAAGTGAGATATGATGAGTTAATGATTTAAAATGGCAAATTTCTTATTTTATGTGAACAATAAAAATCAAGGAAGAAAGAAACGCCAAAAAAAGAAAAGAAGTAAATGCTGCGAAATATTAAAAAAAATCAATCTATAATGTGTTCACCATGAAATTTTAATTGTAGTAATTTATTTTATTCACGTGTTTGGACATTTTAAACTGAAAATTTGAGTGGCAAATGAAAATAATAATTCTCCGAATTTATTTTTCTTTTTGGGTTTGGATTCATATAATATTGCCGTAACGATGACGGGAGTATACGAAAATGCTCATTCAAGCACTATTCACTCTTTAGAGGGGTTTCTTTAAACAAAATACTCCCTCCTCCCATTTTTTATGTTGGTGTTTGAGTGATACAAAATTTTATGAAAAGCTAAACACTTGTAAAATTAGTAATCTAAATAATTCTTAAACACTTAGACGATGATAAATATATATGTTTAACTTGACCATTTATAATGTTGAGCTTTTAGAAATCACAGTAAGCTAGTAGTGGAGTTAGTCAGATGTAATTAGTTTGTTAGTAGTAAATAGCTTATTTCGAAGTTTAGCCTAGCATGTATAAAGTACTCGCTTGTATAATTGTTACATTTGAGATAATGAGAGGTAGTTACCTTTCTTCTCCAATTCCTTCTTTCTCTCTCTCTCTCTCCTCTCTCTTTGTCTTTCTTCACCATATTTGTGGAGTAAAATCTAGAATTTATCATGGTATCAGAGGCACGCCTACCCAATTCTTGTATTACCCGATATTGGCTCGTATCTTATTTATCTATGCTCCAGATATTCGATCCTGTGCATGTGAGGGGAGGGGGGAAGAGAGAGTGTTGAGTCTCACATGGGTCGGTGGTGATTTGCATGGCATGATAATTAAGTCCAACAATTGGCATAAAAAAGCCTATGTTTTATAATTTGGCATATCGTAGCCTAAAGTTATTCTCTCTCTTCTAATGGTTCAAACCACCATTCTAAAATTAAGCTCCATCAAAATTATCTTCCTTAACAATAGCAAAAACTATTTAAAACCCTCTCTCGCTTCTCTCATATCAACCATCATCCTAGAAATTAGATTTTATTTCCATCAATAGTATCCGAAAATTCTCTCAATTTTTTAAAAATTAATTTTGTAGCTTTTTATCTGTATATCCAAATATATATAACACACTAATAATTATATTATTTGTATCACAATGTATAACATAATAATGTGTATATCAAAAAGTATATCAAAATTTTATTTTCTTCTTTGTATAACATATTTCATATTGATACCTCAAGTTTCAAGACGACTCCACATGTGTTATCCCTCATTGTATCCGTGTATATCTCCATGTACATCAGTGATATATCATGTATATTGTGTGTGTCCGTGAAAATCTGTGTTATATACACGATATACAATGTAATATACACAGATTGTGTATATCATGAAATTTTGTGTTATATACATGATATACAATGTGTTATATACACGATATATAATATGACATACATAGGAGTCCAACAAAATTTATGTTATATACATGATAATACAAAGTTATATAAACAAACGTCCATAAGAACATGTGTGAGATATACATTGATGTACACAATATACTATGTGATATACACATGTTCATAGTTGGATTTTTAGGCCTGATTTTTTTTTACTAAAACCAGTATAAGTCACCTCTAATCTTGCTCAAATTTTGTATATTGCCTCGTCTAGATTTTTCAACCAATTTTAGTCACGCCACTCGTTCCAATCCAAAAAAATAGAGAGAAGAAAAATAAAGTTGAACTCTATTTTTCCTATTTTCTCTCTTAGTTTTTGCATCTGATTTTCTCTTTCTGTGAGATCAACCTTACCTTTTTATCCACTAATTTTTTTGCATAATTTGCAATAATGTTCGCTAAACCATGAGAGAGAAAGGGAGAGATAGAAGAAATATAAGTAGAGAAAGGAAGAGGGAAAAGAAAAAGATACATAGGAGAGAGAGAGAGAGAGAGAGAGAGAGAGAGAGAGAGAGAGAGGTGGGGGGTTATAGAAAGAGAGAAAAAATAGGAAGTAGATTTTTTTATAATTGGCTATACAATGCATATTTTTTGGGGCTGCCTTTGCCAAAATAATTTATGCCAATAATTTCTAAACTCCTCTTGTAAGTTGTTACCCTGGTGTCAATTTATTTTTTTATGGTGTTGGGCAATCAACACTTCTTGAGCTAACCTTTTGAGATTGAGTTAGGCCCAAGGTACATTCTTTATCATATATTTTACTATCCAGATACTTTATCATTATTATAAGCATTTGTCCCTATTTTGTTTTCAGTAAACTAATAGTTCCATCTGTCAAGAGGGGCTGGCCCGGCCTAACTCAATCCACCGCGGCCTTTGGCATTTGATGGGCTGGCTGGGCGGGTCCACTGTTTGATGGACCTTAAAATTGTCAGTCCAACCCTACATGGGTCACGGGCCCCACAGGTCGGCCACCTTTCTAAATTTATTTTTTATTTTTTTAAATTTGGAGTTTTAACCTAAAACTTAATAACTAACTTCGACCCACAGGTCAAAGGCATTTTAATTAGGTACAAAGCTTCTGCAAACTTAATAACTTCTAACATTGCTCCAATCAATTTTCACAGCTTCTGGGTTACAAGCAAACAAAGGGAAAAGTTCAATTTACTTTGGAGGAATGGGACAACAAGAACAAGAACAGATACTGAGGAATCAGGATTTACAAAAGGTGAACTGCTATTTAAGTACTTAGGAGTGCCACTCTCAACTAGGAAGCTGACAATGATACAATGGAAACCAATTATTGACAAAATTGTGGCAAAATTTACTTCATGGACAGCAAGAAAATTGTCATACGCAGGAAGGAGTCAATTGATAAACAGTGTCTTATTTGGAGTTCAATCATACTGGGCTCAAGTGTTCATCTTACCAGCAAAAGTAATGAAAGCAGTGGAAAGCTTCTGCAGAAGCATCTTTGGACTGGTAACAATACTATTTCAAAAAAGTCATTGATCAGTTGGGATAGGGTATGCAGCCCAAAGAGCAGTGGTGGATGGAATATCATAAATATGAAGCTGTGGATAAAGCTGCATAGGCAGCTTTACTGGAATGTGGCACAGAAGGAAGATAGAATGTGGATAAAGTGGATACATGGATACTATATAAAAGGCAGCAGATGGAACAGGTTAAAGTACTAACACAGGCAAGCTGGATGGTGAGGAAAATACTTGAAGCAAGGCATATCATAAAAGAAAAACAATGTGCAGATAAGTAAGGGAAAAGGATCATAAAGCAGATATACCTGAAGTTGTTGGAAGATCAACCTAGAGTCATGTGGAAATGTCTGATGTTTGGCAATGCTGCAAGGCCAAAAGCAAAGTTCACTTTATGGTTACAACTGCAGAACAGACAACTTATAGTGGAAAGATTAAAGAAATGGGGGATTCAGGGAGAAAGACAAATGCATCTTATGCCAGGGACAAGAAGAAACAAGAGATTACATGTATGTAGAGTGTAGCTACACAAGGAGGTACTAAAGAGAGTTGATGCACTGGGAACAGAAACAGAAACTAAGCCTAACAGGAACTAACTGGGAGCAACATGTGCAAGAAGTGATTAGAAGAGCTAAAGGGAGATCAAGAGAAGCACAACTATTCAAAATGCTATACACAGAAATGGTACATAATATATGGATATAGAGAAATCAGAGAATTTTTGAAAAGAAAAATAAGAGCTGGGAGAAGATAGCGAAGGAGACAGTGTATGTTTGTTGCGCACGAGCTCCTCCTAGTATAGCTGAATTAGTGCAGGGATATAGATTTTAAAAGCTAGATAGGAAGAGCATGAGATTGTAGTGTACATATGATAGTTATGCTGTGATAGCTAACTATGGAGCTTTGTAAATATTACTGGTGATTAATATAAAGGTTAATTACCAAAAAAAACATTGCTCCAATAGATTGCTATAAAGTACAAAAAATGAGGACAATATTTATTTAGTAAAAGTCAATACTCAAAACATTTTCATGGCGCTCATAGCATATCTAACACCAATAAATCATTTTCATCAAGCACATTTGAATCCTCTTGTGAAACAGAGATGTCTTAACATTTCTATTTTAATCTAAATCTATAATTGTATAAAGTATTAGTTAGCATTAAAAATATTTAAAATTTTAAGAATAAAAAATATTTAAATTCACATAAAAATATTACCAATTTTGAGTTTAGACTATTTTTCATATTATTTTTAGTTCCCTATATTTTCTTTAATTAAATATGTTTATTGAACTCACGGGTTGGCCCAACCTAGCCAAGTAAGCCTCATGGGCCACAAGCTTAGTTGTCGGGCTTAAAAGTCTCATTTTAAATGGGTTCTAAAAATTTTAATTCATCCCTATTAAATCACAGGCTGAGTTGGGCTGGCTAACTGGCCAAGCCCGGCTCTACTGATAATATATGCTTTGTTTAGAAATATTAGTGTATAAAAGTTAAACTCTGAAGAGAAAACTTGTGAAGACTGGCCACCTAAGATCGGAGTTGGGAGAATATGATGAAAATTATTATAATAATGATGATGAGTGGGATGTGTGTGAATACGGTTAGTGGTTAAGTATGACAGAAATGAACTCAGCCAAAAATGGTATGTAGCATTTTCTTCTTTAAGGTAACTTAAATTTTATTCCTTTTCTTTCTTTGGTATAAAATGGAAAAATCATTATGCCTTTGTTTTCACATTGATACAAATGAACAAAAACTTAAACAACTTTCCTATGCCAACATAGTAAATACTTATATAATAGTAGTATATAATTTAAATACATTCTAGTTACATCCAAATCTTCCACCTGAAATAGCTCCTTAATTTCTGCTTTTCAATTCAGAAAAAAAAAATCATGGGAAAAGGAGGTGGATGTTTTCCTAGCAAGAACAAGATTGTTAAAACCACAAACAAATATGCAAATTCTGCAACAAAACCTACCTCTGCAACAGACACGACGGTTCTTTCTCCGACCAAGAACCTTAAAGTCTTCATCGTGTTTTATTCCATGTATGGACACGTGGAGAGCTTAGCAAAGAGAATGAAGAAAGGAGTAGACACAGTGGATGGAGTAGAAGGGGTACTATATAGAGTCCCTGAAACATTGTCTGAGGATGTTCTTGTCCAAATGCAGGCCCCACCTAAGGATGACACCATTCTTGAGTTACCATCTCCATTGGAGCTTGCTGATGCTGATGGATTCTTGTTTGGGTTTCCCACCAGGTATGTGTAGGCGGATTTCTGACGTTCTTCGGCTTCAATTGAATTTATTGTTTTCTGCTTCAATTATATATATACGTATAACAAAAAAAAAAAAAAGTAGTATTTAGAATATATATATTAAGGAGCAAATTTGTGAGTTGGGATGAATTTGGGCTTGTCCCAACAGGCCCGAAGTCTGCTCAAGTAAAAATAGTTGAAGAGTTAACCTAAATAGCCATTCATCTTTACCACTTAAACTAAATCTAATTAGTGGATATATAATATGTGCATAATTCATATATACATGTAAAGAAAAGTAAATAATGAATCCGATCGGCTATTTGTATAAAGATCCCAAAATAGTTTGCGTCAAATAACGGGTCATATTTCAATCCCCCAACATGATCTAACTTTATTTTTCCGTTTTTAGTTTTTGAGAAAGAAAACTAATGTATTTTTCTTAAAAATTAGCTAACTTCTTCAACATTTATATAATTCTCAATCTCAAATTGGATTTTGTATATTTGAAATTGTGTCCCATTTTGACCCGTCGGGTTATACTATTTTGATCCGTTTTAACCCTATAGTTTGATAGATTATTTCGGGTTTAATCTGTTGAGTCAAATCAATAAACATGTCATAATTCAACACGTTTAAACTTGGACGGGTTGACAGGATACCAAAAATGGGTTGAGTTTGCCATCTCTCTCATTTTGTTGGCTCAAACTATATATACATACAAAATATTTACATACAAACAACATCACACTCGTTCTGAATCTACTAACATAAAACCTTGGATTCTTCCATGTAGATATGGTTGCATGGCGGCTCAAATGAAGGCGTTCTTTGATTCGACCGGGCTTCTGTGGAAGGAACAGAAGCTTGCTGGAAAGCCTGCTGGATTTTTTGTGAGTACTGGGAGTCAAGGAGGTGGACAAGAAACCACTGCGTAAGCTCCACTCATTCTCTTTATAAATTACTCTATCTCGTTACATGTTTAAATGCAAAGGCGGAGCCAAAATTTAAAGTTACTGGGTTTAAAATTCTATAAACTTGGACGGGTTACTTAAAAATGAGTTAATCCGCGCAGTTGGACAGCAATCACCCAACTAGCACACCATGGAATGCTCTTTGTTCCAATTGGCTACAAGTTCGGAGCTGACATGTTCGATATGGACTCCATCCGAGGAGGTTCGCCGTATGGTGCTGGTGTATTTGCTGGAGATGGTTCGAGAAAAGCTACTGAAACCGAGCTGGCACTCGCGGAATATCAGGGCAAATATATGGGTGCAGTAGTCAAGAAGCTGGTTCATGGTTGATGAGGACATTGCCCCATGAAGCTTTTAATATTTTCTTGCTTTACTCCAAAATTCAGTACTACTTTCCTAATGTGGAAAGATTTGTCCCTTTTGCATTATGTTGCAGTTCATGTCTTCTGATTGGTCATGAAGATACTGATAATTCATCTTTACAAAGACTAGATTATTCATCCCCTTCCCCTGCTTTGCCTTTTGATATCAGTTTATCAACCATTTTCATGGTTTCATATTCGTTTCCTTTGAATGTTGTTTTTTGTTTTTTGCCATTTATCACTATATTGAACTTTTTAATATGTTATACAAGTATAGAGTTATAGTTTATTGGTCGTTTTAGCTATGTGCATTCGAACAGGGTGATGTAGAGTTGACATTGTTTGTTTATTTCGATAAACACGCACATATATAGGTATAGATTGAGGATGAAAAAAAGCATAAGCGCTACCATCTTTCCCATAACCATTTTCGATGGCTTGGCGTTCATATATATCATAGGAAGATGACACTCATGACAATATCTACTATACTAAAATCCCTCAAATGAAATTAGCATCTGTTAAACCAGGGGAAGTATGTCTGATCAACATATCCTATCTCCTTTTTACCTTTGTTTCCCTAATATCACCCGCATTATCCAGACGGATAGCTACATAAAATGTTTGAAAAAGAAATTGCTCATTTTTTCAGTGAAAATATTAATTAAGTCTCCGATACAATGTCTATAAAAGCATGATCATTTGCTACTTATTTATTACATTGATATCTATTTCTTTACTAGCATGTACTAGTAGGTATAATTTTGCACCAACTAGTGATGTACCCGCATGGACAAGAGTGGGTTGCTCTAGTGGTCATGAGCACCTTTCACTTCCAACTAAGAGGTTGTGAGTTCGAGTCACCCCAAGAGTAAGGTGGGAGTTCTTGGAGGGAGGGATGCTGAGGGTCTATTGGAAACAACCTCTCTACCCCAGAGCAGGGGTAAGTACTGCGTCAGGGGCGAAGGTACGTCGCCCTAAGGGTGGTCAACTGACCACGCTTCGCTGAAAAATTACACTGTATATATAGGTAAAATATTAAATTTTAATGGTATATAATATATATTGAAGACTCTTTGTCGGATTTTTTTTTAACTTATTTCAAGTTTGAACACCCTAAATGAAGTTCCCGGTTTCGCCATTGGTCCGCGTACACACTACTTTCCCTAGACCCCAAGGGATTATGTTGTTGTAGTAGTAGTGATGTACCCACAAAAGTAGTTTGGCGAGAATCATGCAATTTTATTGTTTAAGCTGCCTTTTCAAACCTGTAACCAGAGATAACGAATTGTTGAAATAGATCTCATTATCAGCTTGGTTCTGTAGTTTTAAGCCACAAATTAACGAGTTCTTATAGAAAGGAGCGAAGGTAGAACCCAACTACGGGTTTGGTCGTGCCCAGTGTTTGACTCAAAAGATTTTTGATTTTTCTTTTAAGCAAATCAATCACGGATGAAGGGGTAAATCTTAGACGAAGATAATAAACTCTAGGATGTTAATGGTAAAGAAAGAGATTGAGAGAGATCACAAGAAAAGAAAGGTAATAAAATTGTATATTCCACAAAAACTGTCTGCCTTTACAAGACTCGAACCTATCTTATATATAGAGAGATTTTCCTTAGTCGTGGAAACGACGAATCAGGGACTACCTACTGCGCCAAATCCGACGCTACTATGATGGCGTCACTCTTTCCACCTCTGGGTCGTACCCCTATGCCGACTCATAGGTTTTGGGTTGCTGGTCGTATTCGCTACGGCCGTGGTCGGTCAAATTCGGACCTATACAGTTAGTCCCTCCGTTCGTCAAGGTCGCAACGGGGTGCCTCCTTGATGAGCGGACTTGATGCCCTCCCTTAGGAGGAATTTGAGTCGCTGAGATATTACGACGTGATCAGTGAGGGACGGTAGTCATATATGGCGGGAAACCTAAGAGTGCACGCTATCCCGGATGACGTCAGCCTTCGTATGCGTCAACATTATGCGGGTTTTCGAGGCAACAGACTGACGGTTCGGCGCTTGGTTCCCTCTGCTGATTTGAAACCTGCCGCCTCGATTTTGGCGCCACCCAACCCTATAAATAGATGAAGGGTTCAATTCCTTTGGAAAACTTTGGCCATTCTTGATAATTTTCTGGTCTTCTTCTTCTGGTCTCATATCCCCTTCGTTCTCATTCCTGACCGGAAGTTCTCATATCTTTCACTCTATTCTCATAGCTCGTTCCCTTTAAACAAAATCATGCCGAGATCTCGTCGTGTTAACGAAGGGGTTCCTGAGGCCACTCCATCGAATGCAGCCCCTCTTTCCGACAGCGGAGAGGTGGAGGCGGAAGAGGGTGACAGCCCTCTTACAGTGGAGGCTCGGCTTGATGTATATTGGTCTTTTGATGCCGAGGGCGGGGCGACGGAGGCGGAGGTTCGGGCAGTACATACCGAAGCGCGTGCCTCTCGTGAGTCGTGTGGATACGACCCTGACACTCCTGATGGGGAGGGTGTTGCTTCTGATGACGTGAACCGCCTTGACTCGGATTCGTGGTATGAAGATGCCTACCCTGCTAGGGGCAACGTGTAGTTTTAGTTTGTACATTCATTTTTTTTTGGCTTGTAAATTTTTGGACGTGGGTCCACCCGGGACCTGTTCGTGGGGACGAATGTACATAATATTTTTGTGGTAATATAAACTTCAGTTTCGTCACTGTCTGTTCGTCGTTTTTCCTTTTTGTTTATCGTATGACACTTGGTCTTTGTTGGGATGTTGTTTCGATTATTTGTTTAAACGATATCTCGTTGTGATTCGGACGAGTTCGAGCTAATGTCGATGGCCTTGGCCGTTGGGATGTTGTTTCGACTGTCGTCGAAGTAATATACCGTCATGGTTCGAACAAGGTCGAACTAATGTCGATGGCCTTGGCCATTGGGATGTTGCTTCGGCTGTCGTCGAAGTAGTATCCCATCGTGGCTCGAACGAGGTCGAATTAATGTCGATGACTTGGCCATTGGGATGTAGCTTCGACTGTTGTCGAAGTAATATCCCGTCGTGGCATCTCGTCGTCATTCGAACGAGGTCGAACTAATATCGATAGCCTTGGCCATTGGGATGTAGCTTCGACTGTCGTCGAAGTAATATCCCGTCGTGGCATCTCGTCGTGGTTCGAACGAGGTCGAACTAATGTCGATGGCCTTGGCCATTGGGATGTAGCTTCGGCTGTCGTCGAAGTAGTATCCCGTCGTGGCTCGAACAAGGTCGACCTAATGGCGATGGCCTTGGCCATTGAGATGTAGCTTCGGCTGTCGTCGAAGTAGTATCCCGTCGTGGCTCGAACGAGGTCGAACTAATGGCGATGGCCTTGGCCATTGGGATGTAGCTTCGGCTATCATCGAAGTAGTATCCCATCGTGGCTCGAACGAGGTCGAACTAATGTCGATGGCCTTGGCCATTGGGATGTTTGTATTTCGTACGTACAATGGAGAGTGAATTCTATTCATATAATGGAGAATGTTTTTCGTACGTACAATGGAGAATGAATTCCGTTCATACAATGGAGATTGAATTCCGTTCATACAATGGAGATTGAGTTCCGTTCATACAATGGAGATGTTGATACCCAATTTTTCCCTGCATATTTTCACATATACAAAATACTTTCAAAATAACATATATATGCATATATAAGCATGCCTAATGATTTTAGTATTTTTCTAAATTTTTTAAAGATTTTTAAAATCAATCTATTTTTCATTTTAGCAGTACAAAATCAGTAACTATTCCCAAAATCCTCAATTTTGGTGAATAATTTATTTTATTCCCATGTTTATACAAAAAATATAGTTAAGGTAATTTTTTATACATTTTTTACAAATTTATTTGGTATTTTAAAGCTAAATTGCATATAATTGCAATTCTAGCCTATTTTAAGTTTAATAGCATTTTAATTATAAAAATTGGTTCCAGTATTTTTTAATTTAATATTTATGTGTTATTAACTGACTCAGTACTTTTAATTTGCTTTTAAAATTATTTTACTATTTTTTTAAAATAAAAGGGAAAACTGGCTATTTAACATTTAGCCTCATTTCGTTGCAATTACAGCCTATTTACATTTCAATTTTAGCCATCAATTGACCCAATCCTAACCCTCAATTGGACCGGCCCAATTTCAATTTTACCCAGCCCCTTAACCCATTTATTTAACCCGCCCGGCCTTTCTTTCAATCCAGGCCGTTGATCATTTTGGTCAACGGCCAGGATCGTCCCTTGCCATTTTTAATTTCCCTACCCTAACCTAATCCCCCCATTTCGTTTGGTCCGCCGCCTTTGAATACTCTCCTCCCTCAAAACACTCTCGAAGGTTCTCCAGAACCCTAGTCGTCTTCAACCCTTTTTCCACCGTACTTTCGCCGGAATCCATGGCTTCTCAGGCCATGGATGGTCTATACTCACCCCCCTCCACCATTAAACCCTGGGTGTTCAAAGAGTTGAGGTCTGATCTTGGTGGTTCTCTTTCAGATCTTCTCAGAGCTATAGTTCTATGGCCTCTCCGGCCGTCGCTCCGGCGCATTCAAGCATTTCGAGCCTATTTTCGACCTCTCCGACTCCAGATCGGGCTTTCTTCCAAGCCTTTCTCATTTCTAGGGTTCCTTCGAAACCCTAAGCTATTCGAGGTTTTTCTCTGTCTGTTTTCTTAGATCTATGCTATATCCATGTTTTATTGGATTTTTAAGGTGTTTTCCCCAATCTTTTCTTTCAAAATTGTTTCTCTTCGATTTAGGGTTTCTGAAAGGATTTCAAAACGTCTTTTTGATTCTTCCTTTTCTTTTCTTTATGTGTGTTTGCCTATACTATGTTTTACCACGCATGTGTTGTTCTTCTGCTTTTCTTTCTACTATGCATGACTCTCATGTACTTTGTATTCTACTGTGCCTTTAAACTAGGCTCGCATGTCAATCTTTGTTATGTTTTTCTATCTGTTCTTTGCTATACTTTTCAGTATTCTTCTACTGTATGTGTTTCCTACTGAGTTCCTAAGTTTGTTTGCCTTTACTGAACTTCTATTTGAGTTCTAAACATGCTTCCTTTACTGTTTCTTAAGTTTATATCACTTCTTCTCTCTTCTGAACTTGCTTGAGCTCCGAGCTTTTCACAAACGTGTTCTTTTGTTTTCAAACCTGCTATCATATCTGTTTGTTTCTCATGAGTCTCTGAAAGAGACCTCTGAGCCTGCTTCAATGGCTTGTCTTCTCATCGTTGTATCAGATTCGAGTTGAAACCCTAGGATCTGAGGGTTTTGGCAAGTTTGATTTGGTGTTTGGACTTGGGTTCTACTTTGGAACCCTGAACTCCCAGACTCATTCTGAGTCTATAAATTGGACTGGAACCTCTTTGTTTATAACTCGAAACTTTTCTATGATAGGTTTTCTAATTAACATGACAACTCTTTCTTGTTTGACATACCTGTGTGCTTTATATATGAGAAATTCTTCCTTCAAAAAGGTTTTACCAACTTATGATTGATTCCGAATTCCTTTTAGTAAGGTTTGATTGATTGTTACTAATTTTCCTTAAGTAAAACCCTTTCCTCTCTTTTCCTGACTTGGTTCATTCGANCTAATGTCGATGGCCTTGGCCATTGGGATGTAACTTCGGATGTCGTCGAAGTAGTATCCTGTCATGGCTCGAACGAGGTCGAACTAATGTCGATGGCCTTGGACATTAGGATGTAGCTTCGGCTGTCCTTGAAGTAGTATCCCGTCGTGGCTCGAACGAGGTCGAACTAATGTCGATGGCCTTGGCCATTGGGATGTAACTTCGGATGTCGTCGAAGTAGTATCCCATCGTGGCTCCAACGAGGTCGAACTAATGTCGATGGCCTTGGCCATTGGGATGTAGCGTCGGCTGTCGTTGAAGTAGTATCCCGTCGTGGCTCGAACGAGGTTGAACTAATGTCGATGGCCTTGGCCATTGGGATGAAACTTTGGATGTCGTCGAAGTAGTATCTTGTCATGGCTCGAACGAGGTCGAACTAATGTCGATGGCCTTGGCCATTAGGATGTAGCTTCTGCTGTCGCCGAAGTAGTATCTCATCGTGGCTAGAACGAGGTTGAACTAATATCGATGGCCTTGGCCATTGGGACGTAGCTTCGGCTGTCGTCGAAGTAGTATCCCGTCGTGGCTCGAATGAGGTCGTAGTAATGTCGATGGCCTTGGCCATTGGGATGTTTGTATTTCGTACGTACAATGGAGAGTGAATTCTATTCATATAATGGAGAATGTATTTCGTACGTACAATGGAGAATGAATTCCGTTCATACAATGGAGATTGAATTTCGTTCATACAATGGAGATTGAATTTTGTTCATACAATGGAGATTGAATTCAGTTCATACAATGGAGATTGAATTTCGTTCATACAATGGAGATTGAATTCAGTTCATACAATGGAGATTGAATTTTTTTCGTACAATGGAGATTGAATTGCGTAGTCCCTTCATTACTTTGACCCGGAGAGTGTATCGACGGGCCGAAGTGATGAATAATGTTCTGAACCACAGGGTATCCCCTTCGCCGCCTCGTTAAAAACCTCCCCGAGAAAACCCGATTGGGACAAAACTCAGGCGAGGGAAAAAGAGTACGACTTAGGTGACACCTTTCAGAAGTGGAAGTACTTGAGATGGGCGACGTTCTAGTTGTTTTGGAGAGGTTTTCCCTGCATTGTCTCTAGTTGGAATGCTCCTTTGTTCACTGTTGCTATTATTTTGTACGGTCCGTCCCAGTTTGTTCCTAACTTCCCCTCATTTTGATCCTTTGATGATAGTGTTTTGGCTTTGAGGACGTAGTCGCCAACTTTGAGTGATCTCACTTTGGCCTTTTTGTTGTAGTATCTCTCCATTTGCTGCTTCTGGGCTATCATTCTCACATGGGCCATGTCTGTCCGTTCTTCAATTTCATGTAGGTCTTGTAACCTATTTTCGTCGTTATCCGCCCCCCTTATATGGGGGTATCTCATGCTGGGTTCTAAGACCTCGACAGCTATGACTGCATCGGTCCCATAGACAAGTGAGTAGGGCGTTTCTCCCGTGCTGGATTTTGGCGTAGCTCGGTATGCCCACAATTCTTTAAGCAGTAGTCGGGCCATAGCCCTTTAGCTTCCTCAAGCTTCTTTTTCAATATGTTTAGTATTACTTTGTTGGAGGATTCGGCTTGGCCGTTGGCAGCGGAATGATATGGCGTGGAGAGTATCCGCTTGATGTACCATTTTTCGAACGAGGAGACGGACGAGGAGCTCGTGAGGGCTATCGCCCGTAACAGCGAATTGGAGGTCCTTCTTAAGGCGAGGGAAGAAGAACTTAAACTGAGTCAAGGGGTAACGGTGGAGAATGCCCACCTGCAGCTGAAGGTAGCCGGTTTAAATGCCGAGCTGAGTGCCAAAACGATAGAGATCGACGAACTTAAGGGCGAATTAAATGCTAATACCGACAAGTTGGCCGCTGCCATTTCTGAGACTGTCTCCTTGGAAGATGCCCTTCGTATATCCAGGTCGGATCTTGCCGGGGAAAGGGAAGCCTCCGGTCGTCGAGTTACGGAGTTCAAAAGGCGTGTTGGGGAGTTAGAGGCGGAGTTGGCCATCTTGCGGGGGCAAATGACTTCGCAGGGGGCAGAGGAAGCAAATCGTTATTCTCGGCCTTCCACATCTCTTCCTTCGGCCGGTCAGGGCTCTCCTCGTCGCTTGTACGAGTTGTGGGTCTATGCGGAGGCTCGACTTGATGTATATTGGTGTTTTTATATTGAGGGCCGAGCGATGGAGGCGGAGGTTCGGGCAGTACATACCGAAGCGCGTGCATCTCGCGAGTCGTGTGGATACGACCCTGACACTCCCGATGGAGAGGGTGTTGCTTCTGATGACTTGAACCGCCTTGACTCGGATTCATGGTATGAAGATGCCTACCCTACTGGGGAAAAAGTGTAGTTTTAGTTTGTACATTCATTTTTTTTTTTGCTTGTAAATTTTTGGACATGGGTCGTACCCGGACCTGTTCGTGGTGACGAATGTACATAATATTTTTGTTGTAATATAAACTTCAGTTTTCTCACTGTGTGTTCGTTGTTTTTCCTTTTTGTTTATCGCATGACACTTGGTCTCTGTTGGGATGTTGTTTCGATTATTTGTTTAAACGATATCTCTTTGTGATTCGGATGAGTTCGAACTAATATCGATGGCCTTGGCCGTTGGGATTTTGTTTCGACTGTCGTCGAAGTAATATCCCGTCGTGGTTCGAACGAGGTCGAACTAATGTGGATGGCCTTGGCCATTGGGATGTAGCTTCGACTCTCGTCGAAGTAATATCCCGTCGTGGTTCGAACTAATGCCGATGGCCTTGGCTATTGGGATGTTTGTATTTCGTACGTACAATGAGAGTGAATTCTGCTCATATAATGGAGAATGTATTTCATACGTACAGTGGAGATTGAATTCCGTTCATACAATGGAGAATGAATTCCGTTCATACAATGGAGATTGGATTCCGTTCATACAATGGAGATTGAACTGCGTAGTCCCTTCATTACTTTGACCCGGAGAGTGTATCGACGGGCCGAAGTGATGAATAATGTTCCGATCTACAGGGTATCCCCTTCGCCGCCTCGTTAAAAACCTCCCCGAGAAAACCCGATTGAGACAAAACTCGGGTGAGGGAAAAAGAGTACGACTTAGGTGACACCTTTCAGAAGTGGAAGTACTTGAGATGGGCGACGTTCCAGTTGTTTTGGAGAGGTTTTCCCTCCATTGTCTCTAGTTGGAATGCTCATTTGTTCGTTGTTGCTATAATTTTGTACGGTCCGTCCCAGTTTGTTCCTAACTTCCCCTCATTTGGATCCTTTGATGCTAGCGTTTTGGCTTTGAGGACGTAGTTGCCAACTTTGAGTGATCTTACTTTGGCCTTTTTGTCGTAGTATCTCTCCATTTGCTGCTTCTGGGCTATCATTCTCACATGGGCCATGTCTCTCCGTTCTTCAATTTCATCTAGGTCTTGTAACCTACTTTCGTCGTTATCCACCCCGCTTATATGGGAGTATCTCAGGCTGGGTTCTCCGACCTCGACAGGTATGACTGCGTTGGTCCCATAGACAAGCGAGTAGGGTGTTCTTCCCGTGCTGGATTTTGGCGTAGTTCGGTATGCCCACAATACTTCAGGCAGTAGTTCGGGCCATAGCCATTTAGCTTCCTCGAGCTTCTTTTTCAGTATGTTCAGTATCACTTTGTTGGAGGATTCGGCTTGGTCGTTGGCAGCGGGATGATATGGCGTGGAGAGTATCCGCATAATGTGCCATTTTTCGAAGAATTCAGTTGTTCTCTTTCCGATGAACTGGGGTCCGTTGTCGCAACTGATTTCTTTGGGGATACCGAAACGGCATATAATATTTTTCCATATGAAGGAGATGAACTCCTGTTCACGTATTTGAGCATACGCACCTGCTTCCACCCATTTAGAGAAATAGTCAGTTAAAACCAAAAGAAAGCGTACCTTTCCTCGTCTTGCTGGCAGAGGGCCGACTATGTCCATTCCCCACTTTATGAAAGGCCATGGCGAGGTGACCAAATGGATGAGTTCCCCAGCTGGATGTATCATAGGGGCGTACTTTTGTCATTGCTCGTATCTCCGGACGTAGTCCGCGGCTTCTTTTTTCATAGTAGGCCAGTAATAGCCGGCGCGAATGAGATATCGAACGAGGGCGCGATTCCCTGTATGGGCGCCGCAGTGACCCTCGTGTACTTCCTCCAGTACTTGCCTAGTTTGGTGCGGTCCAAGACATTTGGCTAGGGGCCCGCCAAATGTACTTTTGTAGAGGTCATGATTTACCAGGCTGTATCGAGCCGCCTGCACCCGGAGTTTCTTGGCCTCTTTCTTGTCTTGCGGGAGTATTCCATCCGGTAAATAGGACACAATGCGGTTTCGCCAGTCCCAAGTTAGGTTTAGATAAAGTATCTCGATGTGGTCTATGGCTGAGTGAAGGAGGGTGATCACGCTTTCCTTGTTAATATTTTTGGTGGCCGCAGCTAATTTGGCGAGGCCATCTGCTTCCATGTTTTGTGCCTTGGGGATCTGGTCGAGGTGGCATTCGTCAAACTCCGGCACTAGTTTACGGATTTTCGACTGATACCTCTGTAGTCTCTGCTCTTTGATTTGAAAAGTCCCGGTGACTTGATTTACAACGAGTTGGGAGTCGCAATGGAGGATGAGTCGTCGGGTGCCGTACTTGAGGGCTAACATTAGACCTGCAATCACAGCCTCGTACTCGGCCTCGTTGTTAGTCATCTTTGGGCATCGTATGGACTGGCAAATTACCTCGCCCGTGGGGACTTCGAGGACGAGTCCCAGTCCCGATCCCTAGGCGTTCGAAGTGCCGTCAGTATAGAGGGTCTAGAGGTTGGTACATGCGGAAGCGCGAAGCGCTTCCTGTTCCGCCGTGGGCAATATTTCTGCGCTGAAGTCGGCGATGAAATCGGCGAGCACTTGCGACTTAATGGCAGTCCGCGGTTGGCAAGTTATATCGTGCTCGCTTAGTTCTATTGCCCATTTGGCGAGTCTACCCGAGAGTTCGGGTTTATGCAGGATACTTCTCATGAGGAAGGTTGTTATTACCTTTACGGGGTGACATTGGAAATACGGTCTAAGCTTTCGTGAAGCTACGACTAGTGCCAGAGCTAATTTTTCAAGGTGAGGGTACCTTGTCTCGGCATCTATTAAGGTTTTGCTGATATAGTAAATAGGGGATTGCGTACCTTTGTTTTTGCGGACCAAGACTCATTGACAGCGACTTTGGATACTGCCAAATATACGAGTAGGCACTCACCTGGGTCTGCTTTGACGAGTAGTGGTGGTGAGGACATGTACGTTTTTAGCTTCCTCAGGGCGTCGATGCATTCCTCGTTCCATTGCAGCTCGTGGTATTTTCTTAATACGTTGAAGAACTTGTGACATCTGTCCGAGGATCGTGAAATGAATCTCGACAGGGCGACAATTCGCCCTGTTAGCTTCTGTACCTGTTTTTTGCTGGTCAGCACCTTATGTATTGTGTCGATGGCTTTGATTTGATCTGGGTTGACTTCGATTCCCCGTTGCGACACGAGAAAGCCTAAGAATTTCCCTGAGGCCACGCCGAAGGCGCACTTTTCCGGGTTTAACTTCATCCCATACCGCCTCAATATCTCGAAGGCTTCTTTTAGATGGCTAATGTAGTCCTCCTTCTTTGCCGACTTTACCAGCATATCGTCGATATAGACCTCCGTTGTTTTGCCGAGCTGTTCTTTGAACATTTCGGTGACTAACCTCTGGTAAGTGGCCCCCGCATTCTTGAGTCCGAACGACATCACTTTATAGCAATAAGTTCCTTGGTGAGTGATGAAAGTCATTTTTTCCTGATCTTCTTCGGCCATTAGTATTTGGTTGTAACCGGAGTAGGCGTCTAAAAAACTCAGCAATTCGTGCCCTGCTGTCGCATCAATCAGTTGGTCGATATAGGGTAGCAGGAAGGAATCTTTCGGGCATGCTTTGTTCAGATCGGTGAAGTCTACACACATTCGCCATTTCCCGTTCTTCTTTTTTATCATGACCATATTGGCGACCCATTGGGGATACTTTGATTCTCTGATGGAATCGTTGGTGAGTAATTTATCTACCTCTTCGCTAACCGCTTCAATGATTGCGGCATTGAATTTTCTCCTTATCTGTCGTACCGGCGGGTAGAGTGGGTCGATGTTCAGCCTATGAGTGGCGATGTCCTTCGGGATCCTGGCATATCTGAGTGGGAAAAGGCAAACGAATCGGCGTTGTCAGTTAAAAATTCACGATACTTACCTGGCTCTGAGAGTTTGTGCCCGATGTAAGCCTTCTTTGTGTTGTCGGCGTCGTTTAGCAGGACTGGGTCGAGGTCTTCTATGGTCGCCTTGCAGACCTCTACGATATTTGGGTCTGATGGCCTCAATTGGCGGGTGGGGTTTATTTCCCGACATGGTTGATTGCTATGCCTCCGCACTTGCACCTTTTAGTTGTTTGGTGTGTGTGCAATCTTGGGCGATATGATAGCATTCCTGGGCGGTACGCGGCTCGCCTCGGATGCTGAATATTCCCCACGGGGTGGGAAATTTGATTACTTGATAGAAGCTTGAGGGGACGGCTCACATGGCATGTATCCATGGGCGTCCTATGATGGCGTTGTAAGTTGTTTCCTGGTTCATGACGTGGAATGTGGTTTCCAGTGTGACTCCCCCGGCTAAGACTGGCAGCGCTATTTTCCCGGATGTCTGCTCTACTGCATTGTTAAAACCCGTTAGTGTTATGCAATGCAGTATTATTTTATCTGTGAGCCTAATTTGCGTGAGAACTCTCGGATGAACAATACACGCGACGCTTCCGTCATCTATCATGATCCTTGTTACATCTGTATCAGCAATGCGTAATGTTATAAGCAAAGCATCATAATGAGGGAAGGACAAACCGTCGGCATCTGACCTTTCGAAGATGATACTGACTTCAAAGTCATTATACCGTTCGTGGGCGACCGACCGTTTGAGTTTGCGCGTGGTGGTAAACTTCACATGGTTGATTACCGATTCGTCGCCACCACCGATGATCATCTATATAGTACGCGCCGGTGATGGTGGCTTAGGAGGTCCTTGAGATGGGTCGCGTCCTCTGGCGAAGTTGGCCCTTCCTTTATCGCTGAGCAGTTCTTTCAGATACCCCTGGTTCAGCATCCTGACCACTTCCTGCCGTATGCCTATGCAATCTTCGGTCTTGTGTCCTCTTTCCTGATGGAATTCGCAGAGGACGTTTGACCTTCTCGCGCTTGGGTCCGATTTCATTTTTTGTGGCCATTGCACCTCTTCTCCAGTGCGTACACTATCTCTGAAAGGGAACACAAAAGTTATGAGCAGATAACAGTGGAGGCATACCTCTTTCGTTTCGAAAGGGAGCGGTGTGTCGTATCACGGCATCTATATGCCTTGGAGGAGGCGGGTTAGATGTTCTGACATAAGGCCGATGCCTTTCTCGATTGAAACAGTGGGGGTTGACTCCCTTCGGNTGGCTTTGATTTGATCTGGGTTGACTTCGATTCCCCGTTGCGACACGAGAAAACCTAAGAATTTCCCTGAGGCCACGCCGAAGGCGCACTTTTCCGGGTTTAACTTCATCCCGTACCGCCTCAATATCTCGAAGGCTTCTTTCAGATGGCCAATGTGGTCCTCCTTCTTTGCCGACTTTACCAGCATATCATCGATATAGACCTCCATTGTTTTGCCGAGCTGTTCCTTGAACATTTTGGTGACTAACCTCTGGTAAGTGGCCCCCGCATTCTTGAGTCCGAACGGCATCACTTTATAGCAGTAAGTTCCTTAGTGAGTGATGAAAGTCGTTTTTTCCTGATCTTCTTCGGCCATTAGAATTTGGTTGTAACCGGAGTAGGCATCTAAAAAACTCAGCAGTTCGTGCCCTCCTGTCGCATCAATCAGTTGGTCGATATGGGGTAGCGGGAAGGAATCTTTAGGGCACGCTTTGTTCAGATCGGTGAAGTCTACCCACATTCGCCATTTCCCGTTCTTCTTTTTGACCATGACCACATTGGCGACCCATTGGGGATACTTTGATTCTCTGATGGAACCGTTGGTTAGTAATTTATCTACCTCTTCGGTGACCGCTTCATTGATTGCGGCATTGAATTTTCTCCTTATCTGTCGTACCGGCGGGTAGAGTGGGTCGACGTTCAGCCTATGAGTGGCGATGTCCTTCGGGATTCCTGGCATATCTGAGTGGGAAAAGGCAAACAAAGCGTTGTTAGTTAAAAATTCACGATACTTACCTGGCTTCGAGAGGTTGTGCCCGATGTAAGCCTTCTTTATATTGTCGGCATCGTCCAACTGGACTGGGTCGAGGTCTTCTATGGTCGCCTTACAGGCCTCTATGATGTCTGGGTCTCTGATGGCCTCAATTGGCGGGTCGGGTTTATTTCCCGACATGGCTGATTGCTATGCCTCCGCACTTGCACCTTTTAGTTTGGTATGCGTGCAATCTTGGGCGATACGATAGCATTCCTGGGCGGTACGCGGCTTGCCTCGGATGCTGAATATTCCCCACGGGGTGGGAAATTTGATTACTTGATAGAAGCTTGAGGGGACGGCTCGCATGGCACGTATCCATGGGCGTCCTACGATGGCGTTGTAAGATGTTTCCTGGTTCATGACGTGGAATGTGGTTTCCAGTATGACTCCCCCGGCTAAGACTGGCAGCGCTATTTCCCCGGATGTCCGCTCTACTGCATTGTTAAAACCCGTTTGTGTTATGCAACGCGGTATTATTTTGTCCGCGAGCCTCATTTGCGTGAGATCTCTCGGATGAATAATGCACGCGCCGCTTCCGTCATCTATCATGATCCTCTTTACATCTGTATCAGCGATGCATAATGTTATAACTAAAGCATCATAATGAGGGAAAGACAAACCGTCGGCATCTGACTTTTCGAAGATGATACTGTCTTCGAAGTCATTATACCGTTCGTGGGCGGCCGACCGTTTGAGTTTGTGCGTGGTGGTGAACTTCACATGGTTGATTATCGAGTCGTCGCCACCAACGATGATCATATTTATGGTACGCGCCGGTGATGGTGGCTTTGGGGGTCCTTGAGATGGGTCGCGTCGTCTGGCGAAGTTGGCCCTTCCTTTATCGCTGAGCAGTTCTTTCAGATACCCCTAGTTCAGCATCCTGACCACTTCCTGCCGTAGACCTATGCAATCTTTGATCTTGTGTCCTCTTTCCTGATGGAATTCGCAGAGGACGTTCGACCTTCTCGCTCTTGGGTCCGATTTCATTTTTTGTGGCCATTGCACCTTCGTGCCCAACTTCTCCAGTGCGTACACTATCTCTGAAGGGGAAACACAAAAGTTATGAGCAGATAACAGTGGAGGCATACCTCTTTCGTTTCGAAGGGGAGCGGTGTGTCATATCACGGCATCTGTATGCCTTGGAGGAGGCGGGTTAGATGTTCTGACATAAGGATGATGCCTTTCTCGATTGAAACGCGGGGGTTGATCCCTTCGCCCCTCGTTACGTTGATCTTTCCTCGCCTCGGTTTGTACTGACGTTAGTCGCTGAATCGGGCCATTCAGATCGTCTTCGTCTGCCCTCACCTCGGCACAATAGGCATTGTGGATTTCTTCCCATGTGGTGGGGGATATTTCATGAGCCTGCTGAGCAACTTCTTGGTCGCTTTGGATCCGTTCCTGTTTAATCCGTTCTGAAAGGCTGCTACCGCCATTCCTTCGGATACGTTCGGTAGGCTTATTCTTACACTGTTGAATCGGGAGAGGAAGTCCCGAAGTCCCTCACCTGCCGTTTGCCTGATTGCGAAAATATCGTTGACCCTGGCTTCAGCTTTCTTTGCTTCTGCATGAGCGGTGGCAAATTTATCCGCATTTCCTCAAACGTTGATATAGATCATGCCGGTAGCTGTGAATACCATGTCAAGGCCCTTCCTGTCAGGGTTTCACCAAACTTTTTCAGCAGTACGGATGGTACTTGTTCCTTCGACAGATCATTGCCTTTTACCGCAGTGACATAATGGATCAGATGATCCTCGGGGTCCGTAGTTCTGTCGTAAATTTTCAAGTATGGTGGCATCTTGAAGGTTTTCGGAATGGGGTGAGAGCGGCTCCATCGCTATATGGTTGTTCAACGAATCGGCCCACATCGCGTTTTGGCAGCAGTTTGGGGGCACCGGGTATTTTGTCTACTCTTTCGTGGTGCTCCTTTATTTGGTCGCGGAGTGATTTATTTTCGTTTTCCATTTCTTCCATTTTCTTTAAGATGGCCATGAGTGCACCGTCGCCTGCAATAGGGGGGGGTGAGCGTTGCCCGTTTGTGCGATACTTGGCTCTTTGGTGTTAACTGCGGGTTCTGCAGCTGGTAATTCTCCGACGTTTCCTTGAGGGGATTTTTCGAGCATGTTGTTCAAAGCGCTTGTTAACCATTCTTCTAGTAACTTTTTGATCACTGGTGGTGTTTCTTTCACTGTAGACATGCAAGCTTCTCTTTCGCGCAAGACCGTTAGGTCCTCGTGTGGAGAGGGCGAGATTTCCCCCTCCGGTGTATCTCCTGGTGTTGTGTTCTCGGTGTCTTCTCTACCAGCTTCATTGAGGGAGTTTAAGAGGTTGTTTGAGACATCTGCTATCCTCTTCAGTCTTGCTTATTTCTCCGCCATTTTTAGTTTTTGCAGGATTTGAAGAACAGTAGTCGTTACTTTTGAGATCCTAGATGGGAACTATGATTTCGGCTATGGAAATCCCCACAGACGGCGCCAAATTGTTTGACTCAAAAGATTTTTGATTCTTCTTTTAAGCAAATCAATTACGGATGAAGGGGTAAATCTTAGCCGAAGATAATAAACTCTAGGATGTTAATGGTAAAGAGAGAGAGTGAGAGAGATAACAAGAAAGGTAAGGTAATAAAACTGTATATTCCACAAAACTGTCTGCCCTTTACAAGACTCGAACCTATCTTATATATAGAGAGATTTTCCTTAGTCGTGGAAACGACGAATTAGGGACTACCTACTGCGCCAAATCTGACGCTACTATAATGGCGTCACTCTTTCCACCTCTGGGTCGTACCCCTATGCCGACTCGTAGGTTTTGGGTTGTTGGTCGTATTCGCTACAGACCGTGGTCGATCAAATTCGGACCTATACAATCTTAACTGTATGGTTTAAATGGTTAAGGACATTTTTATCGTTATTTAGAGGTCGAGTACCCCTCACCAAAGAAAATAAAAAAAATGAGAAAATATAATATTACTGATATGTAAGGAATAAACTAGAAAAACAAACTAATTACGATGGGTTCAACCGTCCAAGTGTTAGACCAACTTGACCAACAATGGTCCACTTGTGATAATTAATGATGGTTGGGCAAACGGGGACGGAATTATGAGAATGGGACCGATGGAGTATTTCAGGAATATA